CGTCGTGTTCTTATGTTTTGCATGGATTCTTCTAAATATTTAAGAAGATTCTAAATATTACTGTCCGCACATGCCAGAATCGACCATCTTTCCACTTCTAGTTTAATGCATACTAGGCACAGTATCTTTTAATATTTCTATCAGGCATACTTAGCAGTTGGCAGTCGGGTTGTAAGAAGTTTATTTCAGCTCAAATGCTATGGTCTCATGCACTGATGAAACCTAGATAGACCAAGCATATACTCGTAACTCAAATAATGCTCCGTAGTTTACCCCTTGATTTGCATAGCAAAACTTCTTTTTGTTCATTGTGTCAAGTTAGCTTTATCCTTGTTCATTAGTAGCTTTGTTGAAGAACAAACCTGATATGTTGTCCTTGTTTTGTAAAATTATCCTGCTCAAGTATCATACAGGCTAATTTTGGCATGTTATTCTGAAAGATTATGGAGCTAAGCACACGGGGGTTCTTTGTTTTGTAGGTGAATGGAATTCATGCTCTCTTGGTACAAATTTTATGCCCCATATCATCACTGTCAATGCTGGCGAGGTATTTACAATTAGAAGAGATAAGGAAATTAGTCATTTACCAGATATTTAATGTGTTCCTTGATTTTATCAATATCTAAGATACTGACAAAAAATTGCTCCCCAGTTGCTACTTAAAACAATTTTTGAATAAGGAATATTATGCTAACATAGTTTCTAAAATTTATTTCCCTGTATTCTATATCCAATGGTAGAAAGGTATTTTTTTCATATTGTTTTCCGTCCTATAATGGCTTTGCTTTCCATGTTTGTTGCTGATTTTATCATTTTTAGTTCTGATTCTTGTTTTGTTAATAGGATGTCACGATGAAGGTGATATCATTTTCTCAACAAGGACCTCGAGCTATTTGTATCCTATCTGCCAATGGATTAATTTCTAATGTTACACTGCGCCAACATGATTCTTCCGGCGGTACTTTAACATATGAGGTATTGTAATATTCCTCCTGTTTGAAGATGTCTTGTTTTGAGTAATTCCTAAGACTTTATAATATTTAAATGCAGTTATAGACTGTTTGTTGCGTCTCTCTAAAAATTGTATCTGTTGCATGTCTAGCTCTTGAAAGACGACGTGTAGCCACATTGGTCACTCAGCGATATGTGTGTGCACTCGCTGGGTTTCATGCAAGTTGATATTACACTTACACTGATGTCTGCATGCAAGTGTATATCCTCGCTGTTTTAAAATTTATTGCTTGGTAACAGCAAAAGTATTTTGATCTCTTATAGGAAATTATGATTGTAAATAGTTATTTCAAGTAACCGATGATAACAATAATGCAAACGAAGGAATTTTTGTGGCAAAATTTACGTGGAACTAGGTCAAAGTGTTTTTCTTCCTGTTTTCTTCTCGATTAGTATTTCGGATTGCTCCACCCCGATCCTAACAATATCTAAACTTAAATATAAACCTAGTGGAAGCCGCACGTCTGTTACCAATTGAATGAAAGGTGTTTGAATTATGGCCTCATAATTTGTAGAGACTGCTATGAAATTCAAAAGTAAATTTTCTGATGTGGTAACTTTGTATTTTGTTGTTGGATCCATGGGTTGTTGATGTAAATGAAAAACAGTCTTAGGTTGTGCTGTCAAATATGGGCTGGCCCATGTTGGGATAATCTCTATCGGATGTATTTGTGTCACTAACTATTCCTCTTGTAGGGTCGTTTTGAGATACTGTCCTTATCTGGGTCATTCATGCCTACCGAGACTCAAGGAACAAGGAGCAGGCAAGGTGGGATGAGTGTCTCACTTGCAAGCCCTGATGGTCGTGTCGTTGGTGGTGGTGTTGCCGGACTCCTGGTAGCCGCTAGTCCCGTGCAGGTAAATTATTTTTGGTTTTCAAGTTCCTTGGCATATTGCTAACTAACCCTAAAGTGAAGTAGCAAGAGCTTGGAACATGAATGAATAAAAGAACACAAATTAACAGTAACCTTGGAAATGGCAAAAATTTACTCTCAACTCGGCATCCTCTTAACTTGGCATTTAACTAAACAAAAAAAGAGGTTATAATCTAGAGAGATTTCGTCTGACACTTTCTATCTCTGAGAATATCAGGTTGTGGTAGGCAGTTTTTTACCCAGCAACCAGCAAGAACCGAAGCCGAAGAAGCTGAGAACTGAGCACATGACTGTAACCCCGGGCATCTCCATGGTGCCTCCAGTTGCTGAAAAAGATCAGGATGGCATGAGTCATGGGCATGGACACCAAAACTCTAGTGCCCCAAGACCAAATCTTGCATCTTCTGCTCCGTTCCAGAGAGAAAACTGGCCCGCCATGAATTCCATGCATGATTCCAGAAACTCCGCGACGGATATTAACATTTCTTTGCCTGGAGGTTAAAATTTGACGGATGGCCTCAAGCAGCGTAAACCAGTTTGCTGACCCACATTATTGATCCCCTGATATTATTCTGCACCAAGTCCTGCGCCTTTTATTTTATTTTATTTTATTTATTTTAATATAAATTCGTCTTGAACTTATTGAGCAGCCCCACACGTTGAAATATGAGGCATTAGTTTCTCAACAACTAGCTAGGTTTATACCTTTTATAATCTAGTAGGACACGTCTGATTTGTAGGCTCATTTAGTAGGTTAATTTCTTAGCAGTTTATAAGCAGGATTTATGGATGTAATGACATTTTCTTTTTCTATTTATGACTCAGTTTATTGCCTATTGCTGAAGGTTTTCCAAAACTTTTTTCTGTTCGTGACTACAACAAGCTATTTTTTACCTTAAGTTGGATACACAATGTTTATTTAGTAGGGTTGATCAGAAAGTTTGAGCCGAAATTTAATTTCGAGATTGTTTAGTACCGAACTTCTTGTCGGATGCGTTTGAAATTCGTTTTAAAATAATTTTATTTTTTATATGAAAATGAAAATGAAAATGTTTTTAATCTCAAACAGAAATTATTTTTAAAAATACGTTTTATAATTTTATTAACAGATTATTTTTAGTATAAAAAAATCTATTAATGTCTATATATCTCTCTTTATGTTCGAGAGAGGAGAAAACGAAAATAAAAAATAAAAAATGATTTAAAGTCGTTTTTTATTTTTCTCATTTTACACTAAATTAAAAAATTATTTTCATTTATGTTTTTTTGTCTTTAATAGTGTCAAACATCGTTTCTCTCATATTTTTATTTTTTTCTTGAAAAACGTAAAAAAATAAAAACAAAATCAACTCTAAACACGGTTGTCATATTTTCAAACGGCAGTTTCTTTGCATGGAATTTTAGAAACATGCATAACAGGAAATGGGCATCTCAGCAGCAGCAAGTGTTTAACTATTTTCCAAATGATATTTGTTTTTTTTTTCAAGTATACAATTATTGTTAGACTGAACTTGCACTTGTTTGAAAGTTACTTTTGAAACAACGGAATTGGACGGCTGATGAGAGTTTTGGGCACATGGGGGGGTCTTCCTTGAAACTACTCGGAAGCTGTCTTTTCCTCACAGGTCTTTTAATGCTACTTTGAAGAAAGTGTCGGTATCAGTTTTATCACACTAAGACAGGGTTATTGACATTATAGTCCTTGAACTTTTAACATAGTGATATTTTAGTTTTTAATTTTTAAAATTTATTTATTTTATATATTTAAATTTAAATTATTAATTTTATTATAATATTTTTTCTTATAAAAAATTTAAAATTTAAATGTAAAAATAAAAAATCGTTGTTTAAGTAGACATTTTAAATGAGCTTTTTAGTCTTGTCTCTAAACTTTTAAAACTTTTTTTTAAAGTTTTGATTCTTGAATGTAAAATTGACAGACGATTTAAATAATTATTGCATAATAACTGAAATTTTTTTACATAAATAATTACAATAACTGTGCAATATTATAGTTATCAACAAATTTTTTTTAAGAGTTTTTAGAAATCGTTTGTTAATTTTACTTTTAGGGATTAAAACTATAAAAAAAACATTTAGAGACTAAAAACCCGTTTGCTTGGAGGATTCGTTCTCTGACTCGAATCATGATTCATGATTCACTCTCACAAAAAATACACGTAAATTGAAAATAATTCTAATCTTATGGTTATAATCCATGAACCAAACGGGCTCTAATATATCAAAACTAAAAGTTTAGGAACAAAATATCACTATGCTAAAAGTTTAGGGACTAAAAACACTAATTAGCCCAGAAAAATATTAAAACGCTTTATCACTAGGAATAATTAACTGATAAAGATGACTTTGAATCTGCTACGTGGTTACTATCAACATTATAAAATAATAAAATTATTTTGATGTTAATTATAAAACAATAATTTTTTTTTGATAGAAAATGAATCAATAAAATAATGAAATCTGAACTTGATGATAATAGTGATAATCTTTTCTGGTGAAATTAATAGTCATCATCTTGCACAGGTGAGATCATGCATTCAACTAGATTATTTTCTTCTTGGTATGGCTAGGCCATACACGCAACGTTATTGTTTCTTGGCCGAAACCTTAATGTCAACAGATACAGCTCTAAATTTCAGATTTTCATCAAATTCCATAAAATTTTTAATACTCGTTTTATGTACTACAATGATTTTTTAATCTAATGACTTGGAACTGTTTCTTATCAGTAGGGTTTTGCTTTCCATACTTTATTACAAAATTTTCCGAACTTAATTGAGAGCTTTTTTGTCATAGAAACACAAAAGAAGTTTTGGCTTTAATAAAAAGACTATTTTTTTTTTTTATGAGGGAATTTATGAATCGAAAGAAGCAAACAAAATAAATGAATGAATAAATAAACTGTATCGATCCAACCAAATAGTACGAGACATAAATGTTTTTAATTTTCAGGACCCATTTTTTCCCAACTTTTGGGACCAAGATGTGCATGTATGTGTAAGCAAAAGCTTATAGGCTATAGCAAATAATAAGAATAATAAGAATAATAAGAATAATAATAAGAATAATAAGAATAAGAATAATAATAATAATAATATAAATAAATAACTAAATAAAAAAAAAATGAAACGACGAATATTTAAGAAAGACTTGAACCAAACCAAACCAAAGTCAAATGGGTTTTAATTTACGTTTGGTATAAGGGTCTAGAACCGGAACTATGATTCTGGTTTAAATATTTGTTTGTTTACAAAAAGTAAAAAATGGTTCTTAAAAACTAGTGTTTGGTTTGAATGGTTTTGATTTAAGGTTTGAATCTTGATGTTGTTTTAAATCAGAACCACCCTAAAAAATAAAACCACCCCCCCCTTAATTTTCGATGGTTCAAACCTCTGATTCTGATTCCGGTTCCGGTTCCAGAACTATGGTTTGGACCCCAAGTTCAAACCATAAATTATGGTTTTAGTTTTAAAACTAAAATCACTCCGATTTAAACTCACACCAGACACTACTTATTTCATTCCCCTTAATTTTCGATGGTTCAAACCTCTGATTCTGATTCCGGTTCCGGTTCTAGAACTATGGTTTGGACCCCAAGTTCAAACCATAAATTATGGTTTTAGTTTTAAAACTAAAATCACCCCGATTTAAACTCACATACCAGACACTACTTATTTCATTCTGTGTTTCTATATTCCTTCAAGACTACTTTGCTTCTTATTTTTAATTTTTTTTTGGCTGGAAATTACCTAAAAGATGTCTAGCTATGATTGGATTTTGAATAACATTTTATCATCTTTTAATCCTCTTATGACCTATATATATTCACGAGATCTCTTACGATAAGTAATCCCATGTTAGCTAAGTCTACGACTTGTTCAAAGTCGTATATATTAATATAGCTTTATTTTACTATATATTTTCGTAGATTTCTCTTTCGTACGACGCACAAGCTAAGAAACTTCCAAGTAGTTTATAGCGAATTTGCCTCGTAATAAAAAGAACTAACCTAAAGATCTCTACAGAATGACATCTTTATACATAGTACATATGTATACGCATATATACATATAAGCAAGTATATATACAAATATTATTATGTACATTATCCTTCCAGAAGTAGACTTTCTGTACGTAATTTTCCTACAAACTTTCGTGACGGTATTTAACAAAAAATTAGAGCTTAACAAATTTAACTATATAAACATGAAAAACCCAAAAAAGTTTCCCAGAAAATCAAGACCAAAAAATAGGAAGACATAAAACCTATTTCAGGTTTTTGATTGAAAGGACATGAAAAAACATGAAGTATCAGTTCCTGCAATCTATATTTCTTATTTTGAATCTCCTTTTAGTCCTCTTAATCTCCTTCTCTTTGTCTTTCTCAGTCTATAAACACCAAAATAATCTCTTCCTCTCCACCTATGAGTTCATTGTCGTCGTCAAATCCAGTCGTGTCGTGGCATTTTTCATCTTCAACGCAATTGTTATCGCGATCTTCTTCGGAAGTTTCAAGCCTTTTAGAGACTATGATCATTATTCTTACATTCCTGTCTCAACTCGCGCGAATTATCAAGCTGATCATGATCATCACCGCGACGTAAAAGAAGAAGCAAATGGACATGACTATGACGACGACGGCGATGATTTTAGCAGCGACGATGATATTTTGTATATTGGTAATATTTCTGATCTTGGTTATGATGAAGATAACGATGACGACGATGACAGTAGTGATGAAGATTATGGTTATGATGATCAAGAAAAATGTATTGACTTGCAGAGAAGAAGTGAAGAATTCATAGCCAAAAACAACAAGAGGTGGATAGAGGAATTGAGAAGTGAGAGGCTTCTTTGCATAGCAGCTGCGACAGAGATTCTAACATCAAGCTCTAGCTAGCTATATTATTGGCCAAGTTAATATAATGCATGAAAGAGTTTTGGTTATAATAATGGCCTTTGTTTTTTGTATGTATATTTGTGGATCTTTATGTTTTTAATTTTGTTTTTTGTTCTCCCCTTCTTCAAAAGTTTTTATGGATGGGGTGAATTGGAGTTTGATATGGTCTTGATGGTTGTATTTTTTTTTTTCAAGGACATTGTTAGGACTCATACTTATAATGTAAGTGCAATATGTGTGATTTTTCATAATTTTAGTGGTGTATTCAATTAGTTAGTTTAGTTTTTTTTTTTTTTTTGGTCTTCAATTTTCATTGGAAAAAAAAAGTATTTCTAGCTATGCAAGCTTTGCATAAGAAAGAAGAATAATTCAAACGACGACTTTCAATTCTCAATTATTCACAAAGAAGTTGCGGGAGCAAATAGAATTCAAGTAAGAGATTTTTTTTAAAATTTTTTTTAGAGTTTTTCTAATAGGACTAAAAAAAAAACTATTGATAATTCTCTACTTTTAACTATTAGATTTGTATCAAAAACTGTTTATTATACATATTTTTTAATCTAATATGATTTTGAGTAAAAATTAATCCTACTAGTCAAAAGAACTATTAAAAAAAGTTTTTTTTTTTGGGTTCCTTTTGACCATGGAAAACAGCCTTTGATTATTTTCTAGGGTACTGTTCTAACTGGGGCGTGCGTGATGAATTCACTCCACTTACTCCAATTTTCTTCCACAACGGCACAACCAGCGACCACCGACAAGACAGTATTAATCACCAATAAATTTTATAGGTACTGCATTTGTCTCAAATTGTGGAACTATTTGCATGACCAATTAGTACCATCAATTCCACGAGGCAAATATAGCTTAGAGATCTATTACTTCGTAACTATTATTAATATTCTTCGTCAAAGAATCTAACTTGTAGAATATTGTTATTAAAACTCTGCTTATGTACTAACATATCATGGAGTGATGCCGATCTACACATTTGCACTGCCTCTTTCTTTCTTTCTTTTTTTTGTTTTCTATATGTTTTCACAAAAATTCTAATAAAAGATGTTAAGGGCGTTTAGTTCGCTGATTTGAGTTTTTAATTCGAGTTGATATGTGACTTTATGTGAGAGCTTTTTACTGTAGTAAAAAGTTAGATGTGACTGTTTTTGAGAACTTTTTATTATAACAAAACTCAAATTCTAAACTTGAATCGGTAAGATGAACGGGGCCTCAGTGGGACTAACACAAAATACAAGAGGCAAATTGAGAAATTTTAAAATTCAAGGGTCAAATTAAAAATGACCATAAAAATAAAACACATATGTGAAGTCAATTTTTTATTTTCTAGTTTTATTATTAATTACTATTATTGTGTTTTTATTATTGTAAACATGAAACTTCATAAGGAACTTGATACAATGGACATAAAATTGTTTTTGTCTTTTTGTCTTTTTTCTTTTTTTTTTTTCTTTTCCTTGAGGAGAATGAACATCAAATAGTTTGTCAATCTCAAATGTTACATAATGTGATAGGATACTTGTAAAAATCTAGTTATTTGTATAAATATCGAGCTTTCACCAAACCTTTTTATGAAAGATAGTTACGCTGTGTGCCACGTGTTTTTCACATGGATTGACATTTGTCAAAGCATGTTAAACCATTACATTTTTTTGACACACTGCCAACTGAAGTTAAACCCGGTAAGACCATTTTGTCCCCGTTGATTAATCTGTTCGCCCCTTTCAAAGAAAATAAAAATCTCTGATGAATCATGATGCAGGAGATTATCTATCCTTTATGTTTTAGTGTCGTTTGTAATAATTCCCAAAATGCTCTGTCGTTGCCTTTAGTTGATGGTCGTTTATGATATAGTTGTTTCTTTGTACTGTGCGTTTTGCTGCTAGTTTCCCTAAGTACCCTGGAGTGAGTATCGACCCTGGTTGTTGCTCCTAAGGTATAAAGGTTTGCTATTGAGGCTGTTAACACAGCTTGGGACTTTTGGTGAATCACATTGAGCTTAGGCTCCTCTTTCCATTTCTGTTGAATAGCTTCTTGGATTAGAGCGTGTTTCTTTTCCAAATTGTTTCTCGGATTTGTCTGAAAAAGCCCCTCCGATCGGATCGGCTCCTACGCCATCTGAGTTCTCATCCTTTCGTCAAACCTCTCTCGCTGCCTCTCCCTCCGCCTCTCTTGCCAGCTCCGTCTGTCTCGTTTTCGGTTCCTTCTCGCCGAGTGCCTAGAGGTTGCGCCGCCATGAGAAGATCTGCATCTACGCTGCAGTGAAACCAAAGGAAGAGTGCGGGGTAGATCCAGACGGAGATTGTTACAACATCGCGATTGGTTTGTAGAGCTCTTCGCCATTTGACCAACTCCGATTAGATCTCTCGCATTCTCCGCCGCCAGATCTGGCTTCTTCTCTGAATTTTATGGACTTTTTGTGCGTTTTTTTTTTTTTTATATTTTTGGTGGATTTTTGGTTGTAGTGTTGTCTTCTTCCGCCGCTAACAATGGTTTCCAGCGATACGAGCCAATAACTTAGTGGTTACTGTTACATGACTTGGTGGTTACCAGTCGGTGACCGGTATCATAGTGGGTATCAGTTTGTATCTCGATCAGATACCAGTATGACAGTGGATACTGGTTAGTATTACGGCGACCATCGCCGATGCGAGAAATTTGGTCTCTGACGTGATTGATCGTACTTGGTTTGGAGAAATTTGGTCGCCGCCGACTTGGTCCGAAGAAATTAGGTGGTTGTTAGTTCGTATCTACCGTCCTTTTTTAATTCACGTGATTTTTTATTATAATAAAAAAATTAAATATAACTGTTTTTAAATTTTTTTAATCATAATAAAATTTAAATTTTAAATTTAAATCGATAAAATAATAAAATTTAAAACATTTTGTAATATTAGTAGGGGTAGAATTGGTGGCAAAAAAAAAATGAGAGTTATGGCATCGTGGCAATAAGTAAAATGGATTTTTTTTTTTCTTGCTGGCAGAAGTCGATCTCTGCTTGAACTTTGTGGCAGTTATCTATGAGGCCATTTTTATGAGGCCCGGCCCCGCTCAAGAATCCAAGATTTGTTTTTGTTTTCGTTTTTTTTCCCCCCATAGAATTACCTTTTTCGGCTTGAAAATAATTTGATTGAGAAACTTGCAAAAATTTAAAAAAAAAACCAAAAAAGGACAAAAGAACAAAGCAGTTTCTCATCAGAAAAAAAAGAAAGAAAGAAAATAATATCATCAGAGATTTTAATGAGTTTTTTTATATTAAAAATAATCTCTTAATAAAATTATCAAACACATTTTTAAAAATAATTTTTATCTAAAATTAAAAAAGTTTTTATTTTTATTTTCATACAAAAAATAAAATTATTTAAAAACAAATTCTAAACGCTCCCATTATTTTCGGCGAAAGTTATATAATTAGATAGGACTACATTGCCACCTACTTCTACTACATTAGCTCCCACAAGATGAAAAAGAAAACTGAAGTTATGAATCAAATGGAGGAATCCAAAACACAAATGTGGATGATAAAATATGATGGTGTCAACTGATTAATGTAATCTGACAGATTAGGCGTCAAAATAAGGCCTAAATTTACACAACTCTGATTCGCATCGTGAGATTTCCTGTTCACCTGGCATAAGGATAAAGGAGTAAGCGAGATTAGACAGGAAAAGACCTTGCAGTAGTAATGGGGTGTCAATGGTGCCGGCTGGATAACTCACATTAGAGGGTTCTCACATTGTGATTCTTAAGGAAGAATGCTCTAGAAAGTATGAGCAACACCCACTAATAGAAGGTGGGTTTCATATGACGAGCCCAGTAATATATTGGGCATCGGTGGTGCCGGTCGGATAACTCACAAGAAGGGCCCCACATTGTGAATCCTGACGAAGAATGCTAGGAAGCATCGGTGGTGTTGAGCACCACATACTAATAGAAGGTGGGTTCCACCCACCTTCTATTAGTTGTGGTGTTTAGCACTGGTAATGCCCCCAAGCATTTTTCATTCCGCACACCAATAATGTCCTTTTATCACTTTTCATAACTAGTACCAAGACTACATGAACAGAACAAGGACAGCTTAAACATGAAAGGCATTTGCTGTATGGATTTTCTGTATTATTGAGCAATCTTGAAGAAGTATAAACTTACAGTGAGCATACTTCAAAATAGCAAGAGGGCCTGATCATTAATCATCTTCGTCTCCGAGAGTAAAAAGCAACCTGAAATATCCATGCTCATGAAATGAGTAAACAGTTTCTGCTAAAAGAGCCAACACAAGGGCTTTCTGAGAGCATTAAAGGTTCCTTAGTGTAATACCAAAAAAGAGAGATAATGAATACGATAATAAGATAGCCCATCTTGAAGAAGCGTTTATTTTTCTCCTGGTTCAGCTGGCTATAGATCTCAGTAACATCTACCAGGTGCTTTCCCTGCATGTACCTGACAATGGAGACACAATCACGTCATATTTGCGGCCAAAAGTTCTGAACATAGCACCTAAGGATGACGACTATTAATTTCTCCAATTATGCATTTTCTGTTCATCAATCATCTTAAACTTACACAAAAAAGGAAAAAAAACCTCAAGCACTCAGCGACATACTAATTAGAGAGTTGGCTTTTAATTTTAATACTGCGTGTGTTTCGATAAAAGATGAAGAGAACTCAATAGTTAACAACATATCAAATAGATACAACCTTTTGCCTAGCTGTATTTTTCCTATAACAAAGTCACTCATGGCAGAAAGCTAGAGTCAACCAAATGCAACAGTTAAATGTACTAGATCTCACATGTAAAAGTAGCACGATCCAATGTATGCGACAATACAGCATAAGTTGTTTTATTGATTCATGGTCTGGTAAAAGCTCCATTTGCCAATGGGAAAAATTGATGTGAAACAAGGAAGATGGCTAGGGTCGGTTCTTGCATAAGATTTATTCAAAGAATACGTCGTTTAGTTTTGCCGAACAAAATGTAGATGGTTCAAAAAGAAACTTACTGTCTCACGTTATAATATAGGTACGGAAGGGACAACAAAAACGCAACCCAATGTCCCGTTACAAGAAGAACGAAGCATAAAACTGCTTGAGTTATAAACTCCGGCAATACAACCCTGTTTATCCTCGATGCTGAATCGTACGGGTTGATATAATCATACTCTAGGTCGACCAAGCACACAAGCTGCAGTAAACACATTCAAGAGTCAGCTTAAAAAGATAGTTCGACATATGTTCGAGAAACACCGAAATATTTTTTTTGTCCATGCTTGACACCTAAATTTCTCATGGAACTCAAAATACTGGCTCTACTTCTGTAACTTTGCAGTTTTTGTTTACTATAAACACTTTCGTTTCATCTCCGCTAGTGTCCCCACTCATCTATCTCAAACTCTCCCAAAAAACCATTCCCTCTTAAACGTCTTTCCCGTTCTTTTCACAACTCGAATTACGACTCAAACTTTTGTCTACAGTATTTTCTCTCACAAAAATTCAAATTCGGCTTTTTTACTACAATGTTTTCTCTTAGATAAATTCACTTCTCAACTCAAGTTCTCTATCTCAAGTTGTGAAAAGAACGGGAAAAGATCTCACATTCCAAAACTTAATTCCAATGATAATTATCACTCTACTTGAATGCAGGCACTTAAGAATAGAAAAAGGCACAAATTAGCAAATGAAAACATAAATAGCCATAATTGGCTCTTGCTTGATACCATACAATTTTCAGATTTGCACAACAATAACATAACAATCAGTATTTATCAAATTCATTGAAAAAAAAAAAGAAAAAAAAGTGTCTTGATTGAATTATAGTACTTCCTCATAAAGTTTTCAATAGGATTAATTTTCAACAGATTTCATCAGTTATCAATAAACCCGATTTAATTTATCATTAAGCCCACTAATTTTCTATGCCAAATTAAAGTTCATATAAAAGAAGCAACAAAGTTTCAAACTTTAAAAGTACAATAATTTTTATTTTTAAAAGAACAAACACGCATATAGCAGGAGAAAAAATTAAGAAAATACAATCAATAGGGTCATAAATTGTGAATCAAGCGCTGCAGCTAAATGATGAAAAAAAAAAAAAACTGAATCTGAAATAATGAAATTTACAAAATAACTAGTGCGAACATTACAATCCAAAATCACAAAAAAGAAGGAAAACCTGAAAACCGAGAATCAAGAGAAGAGCTAAGATGAAGAAGAAGGAGAGAAGCCACGTCCATAGGGCCCACATGGCTTTTTCCCGTGCGATCGTCGGCGAAGCGAAGCGACCGAGTGCTGTTGGGTTTATTACTGTGTTCTGTTCTGCTCTTCGCTGATTTTTTTGACTTTCATGTACTTGTGACTCCGCGTGTGCGTTTTATGTTTGCTTTGCTTGTTTTAAGTATGTATTTATGTTTTTTTTTTCCCCCTATTAAACATAAAATTGCAATTGGCTCTTTTGAGTTCAGTTCGAGTTTCGACTACTACGTTCAGTTGTACATGGGTTGACTAATTTATTATTATTTTATTTATTTTTATTTATTTTATATTTTAAGTGTATAGTTTGTTTTGTGCTGTATTAGCTTTCTCGCAAATCTCATAAATAGTCCTTAATTTCATCCTCAATCTTATTTTAGTTTGCTATTTTTAAAAAGTATTAGCCCCTGTTTCATTCGTTAATTTGAATTTTGTTGGTTTGAATTTTTTTATTTAAACAGAAAAATTTAAATTATATAGTTTAAATTATAGTTTGAATCGACATTTAGATGTGTAGTTAAAGTTTTAATTTGAACATGAAATAAAATTTAAATTTGTATTGGTAGGTGTAAAAAGTAGAAAGAGTGGGCACTTTTTACTGTTTAAAAAGAGTGTGCACTTTTTACTGTTTAAAAATAGTTTGAACGGTTGAACTTAAGGGGGAGTTAAACTCTAAATTGGGCGATTTAACTCAGTTCAAACGAGAAATATAATTCAAACTGCATGCTTATCAAACGTCAGTTCAAACTGTGCTCACTATTTAAACTGAGTTGAACTGAACTAAATTAGTGAAACAAACATGGGCGTATTAGTTTGTTTTAATTTGAGTCATAATCTTCAATTGTGCATTAAAAAGAGGATAAAATGTACACGTAATGTTGATAGAAAATAACATTCTGCTTATAAAATAAAGAATATGCATTTTTAATTCTGACACTATATTAACTGAATATCATCCATATTTTGTTTTATTTTTAACACCCTACTGATGAAAAAGATTAAAATTAAAACAAACTAAAAGATTATTTGTCAAGTTTAAAACATCATAAAAGTTAGAGGGTAATATAGTATTGATAGCAAAATTCAAAGATAAAATATGAACAAAAACTTATTATTAGAATATAATCATAAAAAAATCAGATTTTATTTAGGTTTTATAGGGATTAAGAAATTACCCTATAAATAGCACACAACTATGAGCGATTAGATTCTAAATATTTGTACTTTTCTCATGTGATTATGATGTAATTCAATGATTTAAAATTGAATTTCTCAGTGTATAAAATTCTATAAAATAAAAATAAAAACTATGCTACATGTTAGGTTTGTAAAAGTGGGATCGAAATCTAGTAATTTTTATAATATTTTAAAAATAGTAGAAGTACATAATAATTTTCACATTTTAGGCTAAAAAAATTACTTAATAATAATTATTAGGTTAAAATTTTAATTTTTATTGTTAAAAAAAAAATTTCAACTGGTAAGATTTTCCATTAAAAAAATGGTAAGATTTTTTTTAATAGAATATTTACGCTAGTCAATGCCTTATATTAACAATGGGCTTTGATGTTTCGGCCCAATGAATTTACCAATCAGGCCACAGTATGATCCAATCCGATAGAACATCTGCACGAAGAAGCCCACTTAGGAAACGACGCCGTTATGAGCTCTCGTTCTTCTTTTCTTGAAGGGGAAGACAGTCCAAGATCTGATAAACGAAGCTCCAATTTCACTTTTGCTTGACGCCCTAATCTCACCCAGAAAAGCTCTCTTCCTCTCATAGCTCTGCGTTTCGCCTGACCAAACGACGATTCACCATGACCAAGCAGCAAGCTAACTGGTCTCCTTACGACAACAATGGCGGGTAATTCCTTTCCTTCTTGCTCTGCTTAAACATGCACTTTGTTTTGTTTCATTTTTCTACCCCCTTTTTTTTTTGTTCTCCTTTTTTGGGGTCCTGAAACTAGAAAAAATTTGCAACTATCGTAGATCCTGTGTGGCAATCGCCGGAGCCGATTACTGCGTGATCGCCGCCGATACTCGGATGTCGACCGGTTACAATATTCTCACTCGTGACTACTCCAAAATCTGCAAACTGTACGCCTTTTCCTATAAATTTCCCATTTTTCCGTTTCTTATTTGGTTGAGATTGTAGTCTCGAGCAAAATTTTCACTCGGAATCGTAGGTTTCTCTTTCTGCTTATAATTATTATTTGTTTAAAAATAATATTTTCGGGTTTACTTTTGAGTCTTATGAGAAACTGGCGGATTTGGTTATATCCCATTTTGCGTTTCGGTGATGTGCAAAATGGGTATTTGAACAGTTGCTCTAAAGTAAATAGATTTAGAAATGTATTTAACTCATCGGTTATTTTAGAAATGCTAAATTTTTGGAGCTTTAGAAAGTTGGAAAAAGAGTTATATGGCTATATCTATATTTTACTTGCTCAAAGTTCCACTGGACTATGGTAGCAGTAAGCTTAATAGTCACATAAGATAAGCCCAATTGCCATGTCAAATAGCAACATATTTAGCGATAAATGAGCATATGATGAATCTGCTTCCTTTTATGCGTTGCTTGAATCTGGATGATTTTGGATGACCTGAATGTTGTAATATTGGTGTTATTTTGGCAGACTATTTCATAGAAATGGGAATAGGCTTTAGGCGTTGTTTATCGAGGGCCTTGATGTTGAGTTTGCGTCTTGTATTTCTGTAACTTGTTTAAATCTTGCAGAGCTGACAAATGTGTAATGGCTTCATCTGGTTTTCAAGCTGATGTAAGAGCTCTACAGAAGCAATTGGCAGCTAGACACTTGGTAAGGCCTCTAATACCTAAACAAATTAGTTTGTACTTTGTGATATCTGAACACTTTACATATTTCCTTTCGTCTCCATTAACTGTTATCATATTTCATCAGATTTATCAGCACCAGCACAACAAGCAAATGAGCTGCCCAGCAATGGCTCAATTGCTCTCGAATACCCTTTATTACAAGCGTTTCTTCCCCTACTATGCCTTCAATGTTTTAGGGGGTCTTGATAATGAAGGTAATCCTTTCTTTGATACTCTTGAGTACTCCAGATGGACAACCTTCCTATGTGTTAATAACTAATAAAATATCCTAATTCCACTAGGCAAGGGTTGTGTCTTCACATATGATGCCGTTGGGTCCTATGAGAAGGTCGGATATAGCGCTCAAGGTTCTGGTTCTACGCTTATCATGCCTGTTCTGGATAAGCAACTAAAGTCTCCCAGCCCTCTCCTCTTGCCTGCTCAGGTATTCTCTTGAATCCATGTCTAGTGTGAGCGCGTTGTTCACTAATTATGCCTCTCTAATTTGCAATCTTTAATGTTGTAGGATGCTGTTACCCCACTTTCTGAAGCAGATGCGATTGACTTGGTGAAAACTGTCTTTGTAGCTGCCACTGAGAGGGACATATACACTGTAAGTTTCATTGCTTTTATAGTCCTATCTGCATCTCCCTTTTCACGAGGAAGCGTGTCAAAACCTTGATAGTAATTTGTCATGGATGTTTTCGCAGGGAGACAAAGTTGAAATTGTCGTCCTAAATGCCGACGGCATACGACACGAATACATGGATCTCAGGAAAGATTAATTGTCTACATAGAATTGCATGGTACCCTCGAATGATTACCAATCATGAGTGTCATTCAAATGTTCTCATCTCTTTGATTGTGGTTTAGTTATTTGATGAATGAATTGTGGAATAGCTGCATTTCCTACTTATCGGACATGAGTTTACTTGTACCAGAATATATTATGATGCTCCAAATGCAGTTAGCTTTATCATTTTGTATACATCTTAGAAGGCGGTCTTTGGAAAGAGATTGGATTCATGGTTTTATGTGTTTTCCTTTAATGATTGGTTTGAATCCTATCAGGAATTAAAGTAATTTTTATGACGAATTGATATTGTTTATTAGAATTTGAAACTACCTTTGCGACATCACAATTGAGTCTGCGAATAAGCTATACAGAAGTTTTGAAGAACTCCTAAACACATCACAATAATTTAGCTCTACCCTGCTATTTTCTTTTTGAACAAGAGATTTTGTATTTTATTTTATTTTATTGGATTAATTTCAAAAATTCCTCCTTGAATTATGATTTTTGTAACACTTTACTCCCTGAATTTTAAAAAGTAACATCTGTTCCTCTAGAATTTTGTTTCGTTAATAAGTTTTATCTTTCTATTACAATGAGTGACAGAATTGTCACGTGTCACTTATTTAATGAGAATTAAAAGTGCAATTACGTTCATACTTTCATACTTTCATAATCAGATAATCCTAAATATTAAAAAGATAATATTACCAAAAGAAAAGATAATAAAAAAACCAAACGTTTTCTCTTTCTTCTTCTTCTCACTCTCTCATCTCATCTGAACATTTGCTCTCTAAAAAACTAAAAAAATGTTGTATCTCGTTTCTTAAGTCAGACTATGATTATGATGATAGAAATCTTCGGCACCGGCATCGGATCTAAATCTCATACGCAACGATGGATGATCCTGCTCCCGTCCCGACGTCAGTGTGAATCCCTCAATGGAAGGAAACCCATTCCTCCCTACCGACGGCGGCGTGACCCAGCCTCCTTTGACGGCAAGACGCTGATCTCCCTACTTCACGATGGCGTGAATCCCTCTGTCTCCTATTGGTGTGAGCTCGTTTGCGTGCATCCCCAATTTTCCCTTTTGTTCTGGGTTCTTCACTTCTTTAGTTTCAGTTTGCAATATAAGATCTAACAGAAGGAAAAAAAAAAGAAAAAAAAAAGACAACCCCGATCTAAGCAGGAAAAAAATCCAATAAAAGTTTTTTAGTTTCAGCTTACAATTGATCAAATAATTCCCTATTTTTATTGGAAAACCCACTTGGCTATTCTCCCTAAATTGTCATTATCATCATCATTTTCTTCTTCTCCTTTCAACCCCATTTCCAGGCCCAATTCATTTCCAAGTTCTCCGCTTTCTTTTGCCAGTGTTTTGAACAAAAACATCAGCAACACTTATGGGTCTAAGGCTGTTCATAAACCCGCAGGCCCAACCCATTTTAGCCCAACCCAACCCGAAAAATGCAATTTCTAGCATTAACTTTTTTTCCGGCCCATTCAATGTATGGCCCGAAATTTTAGGGTGGGGTGTGGTTTGGGCCTATAATGACTCGCACACCACAATCCAACCTGCACTCAAACTTACCTACTCTAATATCTAACCCTAGGAAACTCATTTCTATTTTCTACTCTATAGTCTCTTCCGTCTTTAGCCGCAAAGTTCACCCTTGGCAACTCAAACTTGCTTCCCCTTGACTAGAACTTCACTCTTCAGTCTCTTAAGCTCTCTGGCGCCGGCAGCTTCTCTCAACCTCTCCTCTTGGCTCTCTCTGCCTTTCCTCTCAGCTCTCTCTGCCTCTCTACCTCTCATCTCCTCGGATCTCTGCCTCTCCGCCGCTCCTCTCGACTATCTCCGCCTCTCCTCTCTGCTATCTCTACCTCTCCTCTAGGCTATCTCTGCCTCTCCGCCTTTCCTCTCCTTGGATCTCTGGCTCTCCGCCTCTCCTATCCTCGGCTCTCTGCCATTAGTACCTATATGTCTCAACTTTCATTACTTCTTAACCAACACCAGGTGATATTTTATTTTTATAATAGTTCTTATATAGACAAGTTTGAGAGCTTGTATTTGTCCTTTTAGAGAGATGAATAAAAAAAAAAAATTGTTGATCCATTTCTATTTCTCCTGTCTCTCTATTCTTATTCAAGCTTCGTGATTTATTTTTATAACAAGAGACATTTTTAGAGGCCAAAAATAGCAAACCCTTGAAGGAGTTAACAACTATAAGATTTGTCAAAAGAAGGCGAAGACTGGCAAAGTTCATCATTCAGTGGTGGGGTGCTCATAGAAAAGAAGGCGTCGCGTCGCCCAACAAGTGGCAGATTTTGATGGAGTCCCGCTTTGATGCTGGGGAGATCCATAGATCTGGATAGAGTCTCGCTCATAGATAGAGGAAGAGTATGCGCGCTAGCACGCTACGGCTTACGCAGGTGATAGGATCAGATAGCCCTTCGGGCAACCAACCAAAGACTGGAGCATCTTTGCAGACACTGGAGAGAAATCCCTAGTCACTTCGTTGATCCAAAATCTTTTGGCAAACTCCAAAGACTTATAAAAAAAATGTTTTAAATGAGTGACTTTTCTTTAGATATAGTTATAGTATACTGAAACTCTTTATTATGGTAAGCGGCTGCCACCTTCTCGTCGGCGATCACCGTCGCCAAGAATGGCATAGTCGCAAAGCTTCGTCGTGCCATACAGCAGCTATCCACACAAGCATATGATGTGTAAGTGTGAATAGAGGCCAAGAACTCAAAAATCCGATGGGTTGACCGTTCGTGAACGTCACAACTGATGACCTATAGCGCAACATTTTAGTTTCAATTCTTTTATGTTTGCTTTATGTTTGATTTTGGATGAACTACTTTGCTTCATGTTTGAATGTTGGAGTTATAATTTCTATTTGATGATGAACTTGGAATGTTGGATTGAACTTTGAGTTTTTGATTCTTTAAATGTTGAAGTCGACCACCCAACCCACCCCACCCCGCACCGCCCCAACCCAACCCAAACATCATTGGGTTGTGAAACTTTTCTAACATCTTGGGGCCAAATATGTGCAACCCATACCCTTCAGGGCGAGGGAAGAAAAAGCTCTACCCCGCACTAACCCAACCCATGAACAGCCAAATATGGGTCTTCTTTATACAATTCTACAAGTGAATATCTCGTCGAAGAAATATTCTATCCGACAAGCGCGTATTTCGGGTCGTTTGAGGATGTTCATTATGGGTTAAAGCATTTATGGACCTGTTCAAGATGTGATAACCCCATATCAGCAAAAGTGGATGTTTGAGTTTATTACCTTTGTGTATCTAGAGATTGTGAAGCTCATCTTGGCTAAAGAAAACCCACATTTTGTTTGTGATTCTCGGGTGCTTGTAAAGCCTTACAAAGAGAAGGGAAAAATTATAGAAAAGTATAAGAAAAGTTTACTCTTATTACTCTCATCTGATCTCCTTACGATAATACCCTCATCAAATGAGTCATGTACCTGACACGTGGCGATTTTCATCACTCATTGTAACAGAAAGATAAAACTTCTTAACGGAATAAAGTTCAGAGAAAACATATGTTATTTTTTAAAATTTAGAGGGTAAAGTGTTACAAGAGTCATAGTTCAGAGAGAATTTTTGAAATTAATCTAATTTTATTTTATTATTATTAGTTTTTTCAATATGTGATGCATCACCTATCAGCAAGATATAAAAATAGAAAATAAAAAAACCACCCTGCCAATTGACACTCGTGGCCCCACTTTTTAACGTACTGAGGAGTGAGGACAATAGTTCTCCCATGTCATCTTAGTCCAATTGCTTTAGAGGGAAACGGAATTGTGTAAATTATTCATTGTAACAAAAACTATTGAACGATTACATGTCAATTTTCCCTGCGTATTCTCTGAAAAATAGTGATTTTAAAACTCGATGTTATTTGATCCTCTTAACTGTATGGCAAAGGGTCCTTCAGAAGGTATCCTGAGAAGCCCATCCTTTCTTTTCCAACTCTTGTCGCAGTGCCTATCGCGAGTAAAATTTTTACAAAAATGATCAAGCTTTCATTTCAAACAAGAAGCCACAAATGAAAATAAACATGGTAGAAAAATGACGATTGTTTGGATTTCGGAATACTAATTACCTTGATTCTCTTTCTGTTGTAATCAAAATCATAATTTCCCAGCCGCGACGCAGACCGATACTCCACCGTCGAATCCTTACTCGGCGGAAACCAAAACTCGACATCATCCACCAACTGCACGGAACAAGAAGATTAGAATACACAAGTCCTGTGCTTTTCAGCAATGCATATCTATCACAATGCTCAAATTTAAATTATTTGACTTCGATAATGTATAATATTAAGTATTAACACACCTACCCCAAGAATGGGACTCTGGTATTCCACTCGCACATAGTCATCTTTCGTCTCCACTATCCGTGGAGTAAATTTGTCTGGTTTTGATGATTTTATCTGCCAAAATACATGGTTTTATTTTATTTTATTTATTTTATTTTTTTGGTATCAACACATAGTGAATAAATATGTTTGTACAAAAGTATAGTGGAAGAGTGGGCCAGAGTTTGTTTGTACCACTTGAAGAAGTTCCTCCATTGCCACTTCTCTGCTCACTGGCTTTTTCCGGCCACTATTGTAGTTCCTGCAAAATACGTAAAAGATCCAACGTGCACAACATTTTAGTTTCAGTTCTTTTAGGTCAATGGTCGGTGCAATTGGTCAACATATATAATTTGATGCACATGATACATATGTTAATAGATCAAACCATGATCAAGTGGGGTTTTTCGGTCCCACCATTAAAATCCCTTTTTTGACCATTAATTTCACGGACTCTTTTCTTTCTTTTTTGTTTTTTGTTTTTTTGTTTTGTTTTTGTTTTTGTTTTTGTTAGAGGAGAGCCAATTGCACGGTTTTGCAGTTCCAGGTTAGGCATTTAGCCCAAAAACCAAAAGCAGTGTTCAAACTAAACATGCACCATCCCAAGGGAAAATTCTTAAGCTAATTGATAAAACTCCAAAGTTCATAAATTCAGTTGATCGATTTAATTACATACTCAAAACCCAAAATTAAAAATCAAAAGATAAAAAAAAAAAGAAAAAGAAAGGGGTAAAAAAGAAAAAAACTGACCAGGGTGGGGCGTAATGGGTAAGATCAGCAACACTTTCAGAGGTGGAAATGCAATTTTTACTAGCTGGACAGAGAGCCAAAGCCGGTTGGTTTTTCTGCACACCAAGGTAATCAGGCTTTTTCCCACTGGCAACGCACAAAACGGCACCGTTACATCTGATAAGTACCAGAGTTCATAAAAAAATACATAATTTAAGTTGAAGTTTTGAGTACCTGAAGTTGAAGATGGCTCCGACCACCGCCAATTCGCTGCTCCTTAGTATTAATTCCCTGATTCAATCAAGTTTCCAAATGAATGTTTGTATTAGCATTTTCATTGTGTATGTGAGAGAGAGAGAGAGAGAGAGAGAGAGAGAGCGAGAGAGAGAGAGAAAGAACCTTCGAGTAACTGGGTCGGGGACTGCAGGGAGTTCGTGGTTGCTCTGAAGGGATTTGGGCTGTTGTGGTTGGTGAGAGAGTAGAATTCGAGGAACTTTCGAAACATTCTGAGCTTTGTTGTGGAAGATGTTGTAACAGTAGGAGCTTGGGGACGCCATGGAAGCCATTGCTCTGCTCTGCAGACAACAGCTCTCTCTCTCTCTCTCTCTCTCTCTCTCTCTCTCCAGACAACAGCTCTCTCTTTCTCTCCAGTTTTTTTCTCTTTGCGCGGTCGGTTATTAGCGACTCTCAAAAGTTTTCGCGGATTTTATCATCTCCGCTCTCCTGGTCGCCTAAACGGTTGGGCTTCTTATTCAAACGGTGTCGTTTTGGAATATGTTGAGAATTTTTGAGAAATGACAAAAAAAAAAAAAAAAAAAAGCACTTTATTCTTTATGGCTCATGTCATAGAGTTTCAAATTCTTGCCGCAAAAATAGACTAGTTAAGAGATCAACAAAACATAACGCGAATATAAATAAAATACTAGTTGTGGCATAACTTTAGAGACATACTAAAGTAATAAGAGTTAATTTTCTCTGAAATCTCATAATTGATGGTTTGTTTTTTTCTCTCAAATGGTGTTCATTCAAACATCTTTTTTTTTTTTTTTTTTTTTTTTTTTTTTTTTTTTTTTTTCTGTGTGTGTTTTCTGTTATAGCAAAAATCAGGCCACATGTTGCAACTTTTATATGTCCTCGGATTTACGTTACAATTTCGTAGCGGTTTGGATTATACCATGTTTTTATAATCTATTTGTGTTATATAAATCCTCAAGTTCTCTCTTTTTTTATGGAAAAAGTAAAAATATTTTTGCGCGTAATAAAAATGGTTGAAAGTTTGGATAAGTTTGAAAATATTAATCCATGTGGTATTTATGGGATATATAAATCAAATTTGGTAAATCCAAAATTTACTAGTGAATTCCAAATTCACTTTAAGACCAAATTAGTTAAATTTAGAATTTACTCAGTAAACTCTGAATTTACCCCAGATTTAATAATCGGATTTGCTTTAAAAAAATCCTAAATTTGTATTTTTTAATCAGTTTTTACTACCTTTTTTTTTATTTCAAATAATTACCAATTTTTAGTTAATTAACTCATATTTTACCCTTATAATTCCAGTTTAGAATTAAAATTATTTATTTTTTGAAATTCAAGTAAAAAAATTTCAAAACTGGACTAGCTATAATTTCCTTTTTGTTTTATAGAAAATTCTTGTGTTATTTCTTTTAAACAAAAAGAGAAAGAAACTCTTTAATGTTTTAGCATATGTGACAAATCACTCATTTTTATTTAGAGTCTAGCTCGTTTGTTTCTCAAAATTAAACTTTTTCATATAGCGTTTCGTCTTATAAAAAATTTAAATTTCTATTCAAACTTTCCATTTAAACATATTAACAAAATAAATGTTTAGTATGTCTTTAATTCTTTGGTCGCTATAATATATATTTGTTGTCCCTTGCCTCTGTTGTCGCTTGCAATCTTATTCATGTACCGTTGCTTGCGTCACGGATATTTTTTTTTTTCAATTTCTAAAATTTTTATTGAGATTTTAGAAATTTTAAGATCCCAAAATATCTTTTGGGTGAAAAAAATTCTGAAAAAATTCGAGAAAAATTCAGTAGATATGGGTAAAAATGATTGTGGTGAAATTGTAGTATATATTTTACAAAATTTTGAAAAATAGAAAAGAAATATGGGGAAATATCGAAACGTTCGTAAAAACTGCAAATATCAACAATCAATGTATTTTTTTTTCATTTTATTAATATATTTTTATCACAAAGAATACTTCTAACCTTTGTAAATTAGCAATTAAATAAGGATTATTATAGTTGTTAGCCCTTGAATTTTAGGGCCATTCAGAGTTTGTTATCTGAATTTAAAAAAATCTTATTTTGTTTTTTAAACTTTAAAAAATCTCATTTTATCCATTAAATTTTGAATTGTTTCCACTTAACTATTTTTGTTATAATTTTTATTAAAAATATTTAGAAAAAAAAAATAACACAATCACATTACCTTTTTGTTTAAATTTATGTTAAAAAGAAACATATAAAAATTACATAAACATACTTAACCCCCTATTTTTTTGTCTGATTTTAACAAATTTTTACAAAATGACTTAAATAGGACAAATTTAAAATTCAAAAAGCAAGTTAAGAGTTTTTAAAATTTAAAAAATAAACTAAAAATGACACTATAAATTTAAAAAACACTAGTGATAATAATCCAATCTCCATCGAATCCCAATCCTAAATGACTCTCTTACCGGGACCCGTTTGGCGTCCCCTCTTACTTTTTGGTAATTATTTTCACGCTCATCGTTTTATAGTTTGCATATTTGGTCGTATTTTTCCACTACTCATTGTAGTTTGCATAGTTTGCATATCTTGCCATTCTGCATTTCTGCTGTTTGTTCTCCCTCTCGTGGTGTCGCTTTCCTTTTCAACGGCTAATTATAGGTGATGCTTGGTATATGATTCTACTACAATGCAAACCTATGGTTTTGTTTTGCTACAATATTTTTCTCCTACAAATTAAATTTTAAAAGTCATAATTAAGAACTCCGATTTGAACCCATATAACAAATGGGCCAATAGATGTTTTCGTGCTTTCAGCGCTTTTATCGTTCTCAAGTTTTTTCTAATTTTATCTTTCTATGGACTTTTGTTCTCAAGTTAAAAACACAAAAGTGCCTAAAATAGTTAGTTTAAGCAAAACAACTGGCTTAGATTGGCCGTACAGTTTTTTCTTTCCAAAATTTCTTAGAGATGCAAACTTCGCAACACAATAACAAAAGCCATCTCACCAAGACAAAAATTGAGGTCATTACCTGAACATCCGGAAACTATATATCCAAACTTCCAAAGCCAAGAACTACCAACAATATAAAATCCTGAGTTAGTCAACGTACTTTGAGCAGTTCAACTTCGTATACCAGCCACGAGTTCGGTGGTACTTTTTTGCCATCTCCTTCGCTCCCATAACTGCCAACACAGACATCAAAATGGAGTTGGCTCTCAATTATCAAAGAAAGAAAATTAGAAATGAGAAATTCCAAGACATAATACCCCATTGATGGTGGGAGAGTGAGCCTTCGTCTTTCACCAACTCGCATACCTGGGAAGAGATTTCGACGACAAGAAGACAATAGTAAGAACATAACTATGCAAGTTCAACTGTAGTATACAAAGGGGAAACTGTTTTGGCTTTCTAGGTCTAAAACCATCTTCCGGGAGTTTTTGGTTGACCTTTCAGAAGAGTTTTGACTCTCCAAAAGACTCGAAACTTGTACTAGATATCTAGATTTTGTAAATTTTATTATAATATTTATTACTCATTAGATGTTTTAATTAATATTTTGGTCGCATTAGATTCTTAATATAATTCTAATACTAAATAAAAAGCTATAGCTAAGATATAACCTGTACTTTCCTTCTACTAAATACAAAACTAAACGAAAGCAATGGCAAAAGTCATAAAGAAAATTACCTTCAAGACCAACATCCCAACCCTCTAAAACTATTCCTGCACCTGTAGAAAGCAAACTCAAGTTTAAAAAGAAAATATAATACCAATGATAGATAAAATAATAATTATAGGGCATTCGCGAGTACTGATTGCTTCTGATATTTGCAATACCTAAGCGAAACTTGTAGGGATCAGAGTCAATATTTGAGTCAACCACTTCTCCATCCAACTTGCCAACATAACGGACACTGATCTGAAATTGAATCGGACTTGTAAATTAATGAACTTATGTGCTTATTATCACATCAATAGCCTATGGAGACAAATGCCCTTACCTTTTTCCCTGAAGTAGCAACCTTGCCATTGGGTTTTCCCGGTTCTAGCTCTTCGATGACTACACCATATTGCAAGGTTCGAACCTGAGCCGCATTCACATCAGGCTTCTTGGACTCCACATCTATGGAAGAAGTGTTCTTTTCTTCAGCTGGTAGTGGAGGTGTGTCTGTATTGACAGTCTCTCCGTTCTCTTGTGCTTTGCTCTTTTTCTTCTTCTTTTTAACTTTCTTTTCCTCAGATTTGTTTCTGTCAGAAAATCCAGTGTGTATTCAATATCAGTTGACTGAATCAAAACAAAAAAAGTATCATGACAACTGGAAATAATCATATTAATCTCGTAATCACTGAAAATAACAAACTCACTGATCATTGGCTAACTTATGGTTTTGTTCACTGCTCAAGGACAGATCTTTGACAATGCTTGCATCTTTTGCCCCATCCAGTTGGTCTTTATTCTCTTTGGCATCACTCATATTGTCAACCTCAACATTTTTCTTCTGATGCTTCAGTTCTTTCTTTCTCTTCTTCTTTGGTCTTTCATCATTTTCATGGGCGAGATCACTGTAAGGCAGTAAAAGAACAATATTTGAAATTTCACCTCGCTATTCCAATTATACAAGATGAGCAAGGCCAACAGAATGGAATTTTTTTAAAACCCTAAAACTAAATAAATATCTATGCATGAATAAATATCCAAAGTACAGGAAATAGAAAAGTCACCTATCATTCAACATCTTATGCTTTTCTCCATCTTCTGCCATTAAATTGAGGCCGTTACTATCAACTTTTGCCACAACTTGCTGGGTGTTGTCTTCTTTAACTCCGTCACTTTCATAAGATTTACCCTCTGTTGACCGATCTTTTCGCTTCTTCTTTGGTGTTCCACCATCTTTATGGCCCGTGTCAGAAGTCTGAAGCTTTTCAACAGGCAGATCAGCCTTCCTGCTTTAAGACATCCCAACAAATAAGACAAAAATAGAGATCCAACAACTAAAATGGTTAACTAAGGAACCATAACATAGAAAGATGAAAATCCCAGCATAGTTATAAGGGCTACAAGTTTTAACTTTCTTATTTCTATGAAATAGCTAGAAAGATGCAAAGCAAAGTAGTTGCTTCCTCTGTGCATTTAGTTTGTGGAAGAATGTGTTTTACACGTGTACAGACTAAATTAGGAAGGTTTGAATATAATAGTTAGTTTCCCTAGAATTATTTCCTTTTTTAGTGTGATATCCCACAGATTATAGGATGTGATTGCCGTTTCTAAAGGCTAAGGCTCCTGTATATAAACCGGTTGTAATTGTCATGAAATAATACAATTTTTCCTCTCAAATTACCACATGGTATCAGAGCCTTAGGCTCTTTTTCTGGGAACGGAAACCCTAGCCTCCATCGCCAAGGGTTCCCTTTTTTTTTTTTTTTTTTTTTTGTCATGCTGCCGAGGGGGTATTCTAAAACCCTAGCCTTCATCGCAGGGTTCTCTTTTCTTTTTTCTGTCTTGTTGCCGAGGAGTTTTCTAAAACCATGCTTCATCGCCAAGGGTTCCTTCTCTATTTTTCTGCTCTGTTGCTGAAGGACTGTTTTGTATCACTACCGCCCTATTTTTTTTTTCTGCCTCAATCATTCTGTTTTTTTGAAGTTCCATTGATTCGCTGCTGCAACTTTTGACCTGCCACTCTGTACGGTTTTTTTTTTTTTTTTTTTTTTTTTTTTTGCACGGGGTGTACGGAATTGTACGGAAATTGAGGAAGCTTTCGTAAGAGAGTGCCTGAATTGTATCAGCCTTCATCGCTGATATTTTACTTGACTCAACCGGCCTTAATTGCCTTGGGACTGCTTGGTTTGATTGAGGATGTCGGGGGTGGTAGAAACAACAGCTAGGATACAGTCGGAGGATGCAGAAATCATTAGGCCTCAAGCCGGGGAATTGCATAACATTCAGGCCACATATAGGCTGCATGGAAAAAACTATCTTAAATGGTCCCAACTTGTCCGGACTGTGCTAAAAGGGAAAGGAAAAATCAGCCACATCTTAGGGACAAGGCCAAAACCGGAAGATCCACGATTTGGAGCGTGGGATGAGGAGGATTCGATGATCATGGCATGGCTATGGAACTCCATGACTCCAGAGATTAGCAATACATGTATGTTCTTGGTCACTACCAAGGATGTATGGGATGCAATTCAAGAAATGTACTCCAAGGCAAATGATGCTGCCCAAGTATACGAAGTCAAATTAAGACGATCGCTGCAAAACAAGGAGAGAGGACTGTCACTGAATATGCCAATCAAATGAAGGCTCCGTGGCAAGAACTTGATCATTATAGGGTGATTAAGACCAAGTGTCCCGATGATGCATCAATTTTGAAGGAGTTTATTGAACAAGATAGAGTTTATGATTTCCTAGTTGGACTAAATCCAGAATTTGATTTAGTTAGAATTCAGATTCTTGGCAAACAGGAAGTTCCAAGTTTCAATGAAGTGGTGGCACTCATCCGAGGAGAAGAAAGTAGAAGGGAATTGATGCTTGAACCAAAGGGGATTGACAGTTCAGCTTTAGTTGCTAGTAACAGCAATAAGACAGCCACAAATGCAGAAAAAGTGCCAGCGGTCGAGAATGGGAGGACCAACCAGCCAAAGACTCAAAACCGTGACTTCAAAGACACTCTATGGTGTACCTACTGCAACAAGGCACACCATACTCGTGAGCGGTGTTGGAAATTGCATGGAAAACCACCAAGCCGCGAGTGGGGACAAAAAGGAGAGCAACCGAGGAACAATGGACGAGCCCAGATTGTAGCAGTGCAGCCGCATGAAGGGACATCACAAGAGATGGGAAATCTCAGCCAAGAAGAAATTGAGAGGGTGAGATCACTTATTGGAAATCTTGAAAAACCATCAGGTACTTGTTCACTGACATATTCAGGTAAACTTCCATTCTCCATTGGATTAAATGTCTTGGATATAGCCTTTACCAGCTCTTGAATTATTGACTCGGGAGCTACCAACCATATGTCATCAAAATTTTTTTCCTCATATACCCCGTGTCCAAGTAATAGGAAAATAGTCACAGCCGATGGATCATTAACTACTGTGGCAGGCATAGGTGATGTCAAGATAAGCCCGTCACTATTGTTAAATAATGTTCTTCCCGTCCCTAGGCTAACCACAAATCTTGTTTCCATCCAAAAGCTCACTAAAGATTTGCACTGTAAAGTGGTTTTTAATCATAGTTATTGTGTATTTCAGGACAAGGATTCGGGGAGGACGATTGGACATGCTAGAGAAGGGGATGGGCTCTACTATCTTGAAACACCAAGTCAATCCAACACTACCAAGGGCATAACATCTCATTCTTCTATCTTAGAGTGTCTTTCATCCAATAAAGAAAAAATCTGGCTTCATCATCGCAGACTTGGACATCCATCATGTAGGATTATTAAACTTTTGTTTCCTTCTTTATTTAAGGGTCTAGAGGTTGAACATTTTCATTGTGAAGTGTGTGAACTTGCTAAACACAAACGTGTATCTTTTCCAATCAGTAATAAAAGAAGTTCCATTCCTTTTGATCTTATTCACAGTGATATTTGGGGTCCTTCCACTATTTCCAATGTAAATGGAGCTAATGGTTTGTGTTGTTCATTGATGATTGTACTTGAGTCACTTAGATCTTTTTGCTTAAACAGAAATCCGATGTCAGCACTTCTCTTCCAAATTTTTATTCTATGATAAAGACTCAAATTGGGGTCAATATCAAAAGATTTAGGTCGGATAATGCTAAGGACTATTTTAATCAAGTCTTAACTCCATACTTTCAGAAAGCAAGAATAGTACACGAGTCCTCTTGTGTGAGCATTCCACAACAAAATGGAGTAGCAGAATGGAAAAATGGTCATCTCCTCAATTCAACAAGATCCTTCTTGTTTCAGAAAAATGTGCCTAAATCTTTTTGGGGAGAAGTGGTCTTACAACCGCCCATATCATAAATCGTTTGCCTTCTAGAGTCCTAGGATTTAAAAGTCCAATGGATGTCCTTTCCAAGTCCTATCCAAACCTACACACCACAAATAATCTTATTCCTCGCATATTTGGGTGTGTGGCATTTGTTCATGTTCATAGTCAGAACCGGGAGAAAATTAGATCAAAGGGCATTAAAATGCGTGTTTGTGGGATATTCTTCAACTCAAAAGGGGTATAAGTGCTATCATTCTCCATCAAAAAGGTTCTATGTCTCAGCTGATGTGACCTTCCATGAACAAGAATCCTATTTCACTGTTCCTTATCTTCAGGGGGAGAATTCAGTAATGGAAGATAAGGATAAGGCAGATTTTTTGCTTCTTGATCTGCCATCTTCACCACTTCCTGTGTCAAGACAGCCTAGTCCCATGGATGTTTCTACCGAGCCTACTGAAAATGTTCCTCCCACCGAGCCCATTGAAATTCCAAATCCCGAGCCTCCTGTAAACCCACCTACAAACCCGGCCCTTGATAGTGTGAGATTTGGCAAAGCAAAGTGTTCTCGAGAAGGAAGAAGGTTGTCCCTGAATCTGTGCAAGTCCAAGACTCCAACCTAAATCCTGAGAATGAGGTAACAATTTCTAATCCTTCTTTTCAATCTGAATATGAGATAAACAATGATGACCAGGACCTCCCTATTGCTATCAGGAAAGGAGTTAGAGAATGCACAAACCGACCCATATACATTCTTGCACATTTCCTATCCTTTAAACACTTTTCACCATTCCATAGAGCCTTCCTTGTCAGTTTAAACACCATTGCCATCCCTGCCAATTTATCCAAGGCTTTAACCAATGAAAAATGGAAGCAAGCCATGAATGTGGAGATGGAGGCGTTGGAGAAGAACAAAACTTGGGAGTTAGTGAAGTTACCTGAAGGAAAGAAACCCGTAGGGTATAAATGGGTTTACACGGTAAAATATAGAACAGATGGATCAATAGAAAGATACAAGGCTAGGTTGGTGGCGGTTATACTCAAACCTATGGGATTGATTATCAAGAAACGTTTGCTCCAGTTGCAAAGATGCGCACTGTTAGAGTTTTATTGTCACTAGTAGCTAATGGTGATTGGGATTTGTAGCAGTTTGATGTCAAGAATGCATTTTTGCATGGAGAACTGGAGGAGGAAATTTATATGAAAGTTCCACCAGGATATAATAAAGGGTTGACTGCTGGTACAATATGTAGACTAAAAAAGTCCTTGTATGGACTTAAACAATCACCGCGATCATGGTTTGGGACGTTTGCTAGAGTAATGACAGCTATGGGATATAGGCAGAGTTAAGGAGATCACACTTTGTTCATTAAACACTCAGCTTTAGGTAAAGTTACAGCCCTATTGGTGTATGTTGATGACATAATTGTGACCGGTGATGATGATAGGGAGAGGCAACTTCTAAGTCAATGTTTAGCTAAGGAATTTGAGATCAAGACGTTAGGAAGATTGAAGTATTTCCTTGGGATTGAGGTGGCTCATTCTAAGCAAGGCATTTTCATCTCTCAACAAAAGTATGTTACAGATCTACTCAAAGAAACCGGCAAGACAGCATGCAAACCAGTGAGTACTCCAATAGAACTGAATCTCAAGCTTGGAGAGGTAGAAGAAGATGCTATGGTGGATAGAGAGATGTATCAACAGTTGGTGGGGAGACTCATTTATCTTTCTCACACTCGGCCAGATATAGCGTATGCGGTGAGTGTGATCAGTTAGTTCATGCACAATCCAAAGGAAGTTCATCTACATGTGGCATACGGAGTTTTGCAATATCTCAAAGGGACACCGGGTAGAGGTATCCTTTTCAAGAGGAATGGAGGGTTAGTTCTTGAGGCATACACAGATGCTGACTATGCTGGGTCAGTTGTTGACAGAAGATCAACTTCAGGTTATTGCACCTTCCTTGATGGAAACCTAGTGACATGGAGGAGTAAGAAACAGAATGTGGTAGCACGGTCTAGTACTGAGGCAGAATACCGAGCAATGGCTCAGGGTGTGTGTGAACTACTATGGTTGAAGATTGTTCTAGAGGATCTGAAGATTACGTGGGACGACCCTATGAAACTTTATTGTGATAACAAATCTGCAATTAGCATAGCTCACAACCCGGTGTAGCATGATCGAACGAAGCACATCGAGATTTGTACACCTTATGTATCTACACATGGCCAACTTGCTGATATACTCACCAAGGGGTTAAGTAGTTTAGTGTGAGAGTTTTGTATCCAAGCTGGGAATGGTGAATACCTATTCACCAGCTTGAGGGGGAGTGTGGAAGAATGTGTTTTACACGTGTATAGACTAAATTAGGAAGGTTTGAATATAATAGTTAGTTTCCCTAGAATTAGGTTTGATTTGGTTAGTTTCCTTTTTTTGTGTGATATCCCACAAATTATGGGATGTGATTGCCGTTTCTAAAGGTTAGGGCTCCTGTATATAAACCGGTTGTAATTGTCATGAAATAATATAATTTTTCCTCTCAAATTACCACAGTTAGCATACTCATCGCCTATTGTTCCCACAAGGTCATCATCAAAGATGACAAAGGCTTACTTGAAAGTTGAAACTAGTAGCTTTTGTCTAAAAGAGTTTTAGGGTTCTCGAATGATAATTAACGTAGCTTGTACAAACCAAGCTTGTATCATAAGTTAAATTGTCAGAGTTATCAGATAAGTGGGACCCATACCTCATTGGCAGACCACCTTCATCAATTCTCGTGTCAGCATTTTCTTCTCCATCCTGTATACCTTTCTTTGCCTTCAAACAAGAGGAAATGGGGACAGAGTCTTCATCTTCGCTAGTTAATCCTAGAATTGCGGAGTTACGATTTGCAGTACTTTTTCGCTGGTAACATCCCTCATCACTAGAATCACTTAGTTGGTACTTCTTCCTAAGTCTTCGCCTACGATTGCCCTTTCTATTCTTAGCTTTCTTATTTTCCAAACTCTCCTCTATAATCATAAGATTCAGACCAGCAAATTCACAAAAAGGAAAAGAACTTCAGAATAATTATTATTATAATATAAGAAGAAAAATGGCGAATAATTATAAATATGTTTTTGGATGGCCCTTTACTTGATCAAGAAGCATATGCATGTGGAATCTTGCCTAACAAATGTTCATAAGAAAATTAAAGAAAAAAAACATATGCATGCCAATCTTGCCAAAGCTAGTCCCAACGGCAAGAAGCCAAGAACCTAATATGTAAGAAAATTCAAAGAAAATGAAAAACCCAAGATCTATGCAAGTGATAAAGTACCATACCTCCACTGGAAACAGGGGAACGTGGGAACACTAATGGCTCTTCATCATCAATGAAACTATCATCGTACTCTTCATCACTACAATCGGATCTATGGCTATCTGTGTCAGCAATATCTTCACCATATGATTCTCTGGCGGTCAAAGTAAAGGAAAACAAACATAACCACACTTCAAATGTTCAATCAATTACATAAAGAACAACCTCCAACCACCATAACCATATGAGGATCAGATGTGAGGGAAAAAACAAAAAACAAAAAACAAAAAACAAAAAAAAAAAAACCTCTTCACTATGTTTTATCTATGCCTTTCAATCTCCCAAAAACACAAAACAAGAAAATTAAAACACCTCAAATAGTTACAAAAAAACTACTTGGCAATTGGGGTAAAATCTCCTGTTTTTTTGAGTTCCCCTATATTTCCTCTTCTTTTTTCCCCTAATTTTCCATGCAACCAATTACACATACATATATGCTAGTATAATTAAAAAAAAAAACACGAAAATGTGACATGCCAATGAACACACAAAAACGAAAATAAAAACAAAGGATACGATTCTTCGTTTAGAGTGTGATACCGACCACCACCACCACCGAGGTAGTACCCAGAGAGGTGAATGCTCCGAGGACCAAGAACAGAGAAGATAACTTCATCAACCTCCTCAAATTCCAAATTCAGTTGCAGTGACTCAGCCTTCTCAGGACACAAAGAGCATAGAAAAACAGGACTTTTGTTTCCCACGTTACACTGAAGAACACTTTTCGTAGTTGCCTTACCCAACCCCAATGAGGCCTAAGCAAATCAAGAAAAGTATCACAAACCCAAAACCTCAAACTATATTATAATATAACAATTAACACCCCAAAATGAAACTAATCTAATGTCATCAACTTAATAACTGTTCAAAAACATGGCCAACACAAAACTTAAAAGAAAATTTTGTACTTTTTAGTGAAGAGCGTTACCATAGAAACATGAAGCCGACCTTTTGAGTCATCAAATTTGTGAGTAAAAGGTTTTCCCGGCTTTACTTCAATTCCTGAGATATAAAATCAATAAGCAAACGGTTTAGAAACACAAAGCAAAATCAGCGTTTGGCAATTGGCGTGTCCTACCTCGTTTGGTTGCCCAGAAAAATTAATGATGAAAAAGATTGAAGAAGGTAAAAATAAGCTCAGCCAAGTCAATCAAAAAGAAATTAAAAAAAAAAAAAAACAGAAGTTTTCTATTCCTGGTTTTCCCACGAATTCTCGGCAACGAATCGGGGCAAAAGTTCAGAGAAAATGAAATTGAATGGAAAATGGGTTGAATCTTACCCCAGAACGCCATTTTCCTTCTCAGAAAGAGAGACTGCGAAAACCATAAACCCAGTGAAGAGGCTTTAAAACCCTAGAATTTGAATACCAAGAAGAAGAAAGGAGGAGGAAAGGAAGCGAATTAAAATTGGCGGTGATTTTTTATGGTGGGGAGTCGTGGGACCCAGGTTAGATGACGTGGCAAGTTTTAATTGGTTATTGAGAAAAAGGCCGGGTGTTTTTATTTACAAAAAGAATACTGATTAGAACAATTATCTTACAACGAACACTGTTTTTAAACTACCACGTCAGCAATTAGGTCCCACATGAGTGCATTGTTAAAAATACCCTTTGCATAGCCATAAACCAGACATCTTTTGATCTTTCTTTCTTCCCACTGAAAGCCCTTCTCTCTCTCTCTCTCTCTCTCTCTCTCTCTCTCTCTCGGCTTGCGGTGGACGCGCGCAGGAGTGGGGGCTTCGACGACAGAGATCCAGGGTTGTGGCGCTGGTGAACGAAGGTCTGGGGCTTGTGGACATGAGCCACCATCCGGTTCCATCACTGTATCCGGCCGTCGAAGACTAACACCGTCCACAAATCGCCGTCGCTGGCCCTCCCAAGCCCGAATCTCTGCAGCGTTGGGCCCTTCTCCTAACCCCACGCCCATACCCGTCCCTTGCAACGCTTCTCGTCCCCGCCCTATCAAGTGCCGAAGGCTGTATGGTGATCCGTACTACCCGCTGAGCATGCCGATCCAGGTTTACGTCTACGACATGCCGTCCAAGTTCACCTACGATCTGCTCTGGCTCTTCAAGAACACCTACAGGGACACCTCTAATCTCACCTCCAATAGCAGCCCCGTCCACCCGCCTCATCGAGCAGGTAGTTCTTTTTTTCTTTTTTTTTCTTGTTCATTTATTTGTCTCATCTTTTCTTGCATAATTAGGATTTCTTGCTTGCATTTTTTTTTTTTCGCGAAATGCTTTATATTTGATCATTAGTGTGAAATTATTGAATTCGAAAAGAAAATTTTGTTCATTTGCTCATTTCCTTTTGATTTTATGTTCTTGTTTAATTTTGTACAGTTGAAGGAAAGCTACTTTTTATTTTTCTCTTTGTTAAGTTTATTTCTCGTCGTTTTCTTGCATAATTAGGACTATTTTATTGCATTATTCTCTTTAAATGTTTTTATTTGATTATTGGTGTGGACTGATTGGATTAGAGAAGAAAAGCCAGTAGAGGCCAGTAAGCCAGTTTCTCTGATTAGAAAAATTCATCTTCTGATCTCCCAAATCATGAGAAACATTCATCTCTGGGTTCTCAAATCTCCTGTAATTTATTTTGCTCATCAATTATGGATATCCACTTTCTAGAGGAATGAAAAAGTACGTTAAAGTTTTTAGATTGTATATTTTGGTTTAGAAGCTACCAGTGTGCCAGTTTAATCTTTCAGTCATACAGCAGTAAAGTCGCTGGAACTTTGTTGTTCTGGAGCTTAATGTACCAGAAAAAGATGTTGAGTAGCTATTGGTTTCACTGATTTTGGATAACTCAATTGATATTAATTGAAATGTTATATAAAACAATTTTATATGAACGAGGTTCTTGATTTCTTCTCATGATCTATTTTACAGTCGATAGTAGCTATTGAAAGTTCTCATAATCTATTACTATGTATGGGAGTTTTTGTTCCAAGAGCCATAAAAGTTGTCTCATTCGTCCTTACTGCAAAATTATAACTTAGGGTGCCCTAAATTGCAAAGGCAAAATCTTGAGAGTAGAGGGAGATAGAGAGAGCGTGGTGGCGGAAGAGAGAGAGAGAGAGAGATTATATGTACATAATCCAACTGAAGTTGGTAACAAAAATGGTCATCGTTATAATTACCTTGCGGTCATTATTATAATTACTATCAGACAAAAGAGGAATTAACAAAAAAGAATTAATTATATGTCAATGTGATAATTAATAGTTGCAACAATAAATTTACAACATATTGGTTGCCAAAAATAATTTGTAAGGCGTTAGTGCTACTTTTTTTTTTTTTTATAAGGTTTTTTTATAATATTAACTATTAGAGCTTATTCAGCCAAAAAAAAAAGAAAAAAGCCTACTAAAGCTTTAGTACTTGAATACTTGGCAGCAAAGAAAGCAAAACTTCATTACTTCAATCATACCCTTGCACATTCCGTCTCAAAAGAATTATAATATCTCAAATCTTTAGTTTAAATGTGCATAAATTTTTAAATTCTATTGATAATTTTTTCATTTGATGTATAAATGGTATAAAAATCCTATTACCAACAAGATAAAGTAGTTACGGTAATTTTTGAAGTGATCATTCAGTATTTTCTGTAATGACCATAATCAATTTTTTGAATAAAAACTGTCTAAGTTATTTACTAAGCAACTTTTTTTTTAATAGATTCTATTGGTAGTTTTTTCATTTGATGTATAAACGGTAAAAAAATCATACTACTAGCATGACAAAGTAGTTGAATTGGTACACTACGGTAATTTCTAAAATGACCACTCAGTAATTTTTTTAATGATCATAATCAATTTTTCAAATAAAAACTGCCTAAATTATTCACTAATCAGTTTTTTTTTTTAAATTCTACTGGTTGTTTTTCATTTTATGTATAAACGGTAAAGAAATCTTACTACTAGCAGAATAAAGTAGTTGAATTAATACACTACTATAATTTCAAAAATTACCACTCAGTAATTTATGTAATGACCATAATCAATTTTTTGAATAAAAATTGCCTAAGTTATTCAGTAAGCAGCTTTTTTTTAGCCACCATAGCAACTTATTTGTGCTTCATAGTTCTTTTAAACAGAATTCAAAAAAAAAAAACGAAACAAACAAACAAAACATCAAACATACTCCTACCAAAAGTTCAAAATGTCAAAGTGTGAAGACAAATGCGTAACCAATATTAAAAGAAATCTTGAAAAATGTGCACAAGAGTACTCAAATTGATCTGCCGGCCGAGGCTGAAAAAATTAAAGGTAAACTAATAAGTCAAGAGCCACCTTTTGCCTCATTACGGATCTCAAATTCCATCAAGAATCCAACAGCTATTCTCATGGCCTTACGACATCCTTACAAAACATACATAATTCACAAATCTAAAATAAGAAACATTGAAAAAGAATGTTTGAATTGTGTATCTAATAAAACAAATTGAAAGTGAATTTAGCATTAAAATCCCACTCATGAAAAAAGAAGTTTAGCATATGATGCTGGTAATCACCATTATGACCAATAATAATTAAATAATTACTATATGACTCACAACATAATTACAGTTGGTTATTATCGTAATGACTACTTGATAAATGAAAATTATGCTCAAAGTGCAAATCTAACTGATATTCCACTTCTTATTCAAATTGGAAACAAATTTGATAAATTGGTTCCCTCAAAATCATAGCCCGGACATTTTTTTTAAGATTTTTTACCATATATGTGGAAAAAAAGGTCAAAGTGCTCTTTATTAACACTTTTAAATGGGATTGTGTCCGCATTAGATGTAAATAAGAATTAAACGCCTCTAGAAAATATCAGCAACTTGTTCATATGAGTGAGGGAGGGAGGGAGGGAGAGAGGGAGGGAGAGAGGGAGAGAGAGAGAGAGAGAGAGAGAGAGAGAGAGAGAGAAGTGAGGGCGCAAAAAGAGAGAGAGAGAGAGAGAGAGAGAGAGAGAGAGAGAGAGAGAGAGAGAGAGAGAGAGAGAGAGAGAGAGAGAGAGAGAGAGAGAGAGAGAAATGTGGGAGCTCAAATGAAGAGAGAGAAGGAGAATGAGAGAAAAAACTGTGAGTTTTAAATGAAGATAGAAATTGATGAGATATCTGTAACTTGTTCAAGTGATGAGAGAGAGGAGAAAGAAAGAAAAAATATGAGAGTTCAAATGAAGAGAGAGAAAGAGAGGGAGAGAAAAAGAAGAGAGAGAAATTGAAGAGGGAAGCATTTACCATTGAATTTTACCAAGGGTAATTTTGACAATTTAACTTCATGAATCCCTCAATTGTTAATGTGACAATGCTAAAAATAAAAGTATGAAAAAGTAGTGCTAATCATAAGATAATTTTTGTAATCAGTTCTATTTTTATAAATAACTCTTTAAAAAAGCATGAAAAATAGAGAATTTATCCTTAAGAGTTCATGAGTCTGGATCTTTATTTTTTACTCTTGATAAATACCATTTTATTAGTGTAAAGATAAAAATCTTGACTCATACATTTTTAAAGAATATTTATTAATATTATTCTTTAGTATCAGGTAGCGCGGGAAGCCCAAACTAAGGTTTCTTTCTAATCTTGTCTTTAATTTCACATTTGGGAATTCATTAGTCGTGTTTGAGATTTTTGTTTGTTTGTTTGTTTGTTTGTTCTTCAATTAGTCGTGTTTGATTTCAGATGTGTTCTTTTTATAAAGAGACTCAGGTGCATGCATTTTGCATTTTGATTTTGTTTTATTCTTTCATCAAAGTCAAAATTTCTTCATATTCGAATTCACAACTTCATACTAGTGATATATATATATATATATATATGGTGTTTTCAATAGTTGCTTTTGGTGAATTGTTTTTTTGCAACAATAATAATACTTTAAGTTGCGCTTAATGATAAATAAATAAAATAAAGATCATGCGGGTGAAAGTTCATCATAAATAAGCCAACTTGACAAAAGCCACCATGACAAATACTGTTACTAATATTGTTGTGTTATGGACAGTGATGAAACTTCGGGCGGCAGGTATACCCGATGCTTGAAAATTTTTAGGCACGGCGGGCAGGTGCCATTCACTGTCCGTCCGAGTAGTTTGGTTGGGCATGGGCTCGGGCAGCCCGAAAAAAATCCCTTCCGGCTGCCCGCCGCCCGGCGGTTTGTTTTTTTGAATTTTCCCGTGTAACCCGAATTTACCCGAATTTTTTTGACCGTTACCCCGAATTTTACCCGATGTTCGAATTTTTTTGACCATTAGCCCGAATTTTGAACCCAACGGATCTTTTTTGCCCGACCCGACCGCTACTCGAATTTTGCCTGGATTTTCAAACCCCAAACGGCTATTTTTTAGAGCGTTGCCCGAATGTGCCCAATTTGCCCG